GACCAGTTGTTTTCTACTTGAAATTTCATAAAGTGATGAGCAATTAATAGCGCCATTCCCATCTCCACCACTAGGTGATTCTTCTCCTTGGATGATTATGTAGCCAGTGAACCCGTACAAATGGGAGCTCATGGGGGTTAACTCATGATCCACTTCCATCTTAATGAAGATCGCTCCAAATATGATATTGACTGAACTCCCATTATCCACTAGTATTCTTTTGAGGCCATTTCATACCACGACGACCCTCACTACCAAGGCATCACAGTGTGGATAGTGTAAGCCAACCTCATCTTTTCGTGTAAATGTAATGGAATATACCCCTCTCCTAGCTAGGGATCGATTGTTGTTGACTATAAAGCTTGTCATGGGGATCTCTGGCCTTTCTTACATTATTCCTTTGTGAATTCCTGGTTTTTCCTTCGACGTATGGACCTCCAAAATTGTATCTATCTTTTGAATGGGCTAGTGGCCTGCGTTAGCTAGAGGACTTTTCATTTGTCTTTGGTGTTCGCTTGGCCTTTCCCTATCATTTTCTCGTCTCTGAGGAACATTAGTTCGAAGTGGGTGCGTTGCCTCATCTTTCCTGTGCTATCGATCTTGCCTAGTAGGAAGAACATTTCATGGGGGTTTATTCCTTACTTGATTGTTAGGTCGAGAGTGCAATGTAATATCCTTCCAATCAGCTGTGCAATAGCTATAAGAGTGGTGGTAGGTGTAGTAGAGGGGTAGGTGTAGTAGAGGGGTGCTTTGTCCCTATTTAAAGGTTCAGCACTTCGCCCTCTGCCCCTTCCACTCTGAGGAAATCTTTGGCTGACCTTTGGTAGTGAATCTCAACGTCGGGGTTTACTTCCTTATAGGCTAAAGTAGACACTGTATTTAGTGTTGTTGCAACTAGCACTTGTCCTGAGTTGAGGGTGGTTGACCATCTGACCTGGTAATCCATCGAATGGGACTTTAGACCTCTTCTTTGTTGTCTTTGAAGAGTTGGGAGTCCTCGATTGACCCTCTTGCAATGATTTTTTAGTTTCTCATTGATAATTTTGCGCCTTATCATTTCTAGTAGAGTATTATAAATGGTAGGGTCCTTATTCTGCACGTCTCTCCGAAATAGAGAGTTCATGTCTAGTCCTCATCTCAAAGCATATAGTACTTTCCTATCCGTGACTTGTACACAATAATTCATTTTGTCGGTGAAGCACATAAGAAAGCTTTCTTGAAATCTGGTAAACTTCTAATATTTCTTTCTGGAATCTTGGTATACCATACTTCGGCCGCTCCTCTCTCAAAGTTAAGTGAAGAAGTCTATATTTTACCATAGGAAACGAGCGTCTCAAGCTCATAAGAGTTTTGAAGTTGTTGAGGTACTTCACGGGGTCACATTTCCCATCATAGACAGTGCCAATTTGTTGACCTCGCTTTCCATGGGGATGATGTGAACAATAGATACCGAGTCTATTCATGTCTAGACGAGCAAATTTCAACACTTTTTAATGGAGAATGGGGTCCCAAAGTGTAATTGTTCTTGAACATGAGAGATGTCTTAAGAAACGAGAAAAAAAGTTTGACACCGGCTGCAAATTTATGGGTAACTGTACATTAAAGGTCAATCACAAACAACTCAACTAAAATAATGTTATCTAATCTTAAACAAGCTTGAACATAAACAAGAGAGAAGAAACTATAGTTTTCTTTGTGTAAAGAGTTGCGTTAGGTTCAAAGTGATATAATGTTTACTATTTATAGTAATACAATATTGATCTTCACCGTTGGATGAAGTGCACGTGGCTGCATCTGACTCTCTGGATGTCCTATCGTGGCTCTCCCATCGCCCATTTATCGTATATGGCACTCGAGTGTGTGGGGGAAGAGGAGCCTCCCTTTGGATTATATCAGTGTACATAAGTAATTGGGCTGACAAGATTTGACTTCATTAGACTTCAAGTGGTCATATCAATAATTCACCAGATACTATGATCTCTTTGGGAACCGCTTTTAATTTGAAGCCCTTGGAGGAAGGAGTTCAGGATGGAGGATCTTCGTGATATAGTGGGCTTTGACCGTTTGACTTTGATCAACCTTTGACTTTTCCTTTGATTGATATCTCCGCGTGGTAGCAGCAGGTGCTTGGGATAGATTCCTTAGTCACAAGGCATAACATTCAAGTCCTCATTATCAAAAATAATATCTTGACTAAACCTATTGTATCTCATCAATGAACTGGGTCGGGTATAGTTCTTTCTTGTTGAGTTGGAATCACCCCTACTACGTTTCCACCCACTATCACATTTATTGCACTGGGCGTAGGTGGTAGAGGTTGTTCCTCAACTACTTAAGAGTGCTAGGTGTCGATTGTTAGGTTCTACGGTACGTCAATCGCTACCAAGCTTGTAGCTCGTTCGATCCTCATTCGGTACTAGAAAATATAGCGACTACTACTTCCATCATCATAGTCATTTAGGATGGTATAACAATTTTAAACTTTCAAATAGTTTGCTGCCAATCAGTCTAATAAAAATTTCGTATTATAAAAATTTTAAAATTCATACTTGGATTGTTATTTTGTTAATTAAAAATATTTTTGTAAAATTTCTTTAAAGAGTTCCTCTGTTTTCATCTACTATTGATGTCTGATGTGTCTGCTAAAATCAATTGGTACTACTAGTTGTAGGATTTTAAATTTAGTTATCATTGGTCATTACAATACTTAATTTTTATAATGTTGTATTAGTTTATTTCTTATCTGATAGGTTTTCTACTTCTTTACGGAAATTTATTTCTTTTCATTTTAGGGGATTAAGAATTTTTTATTATTATTTTTATTTTACAACTGTGAATTACTTAAAAGTTAGGTCACATAACTAAAAATTGACAATATTTAAAACAATATTTGTCAATGTAATTCGAAAACTTACAAAGTACTCCTTCAAACCAACATGTTAGAAAATAGATAATATTTAGAATTCCATTTAGATACGGAAGTTCTATTAGGTGACTCCACAAAATTAATATTTTCTTTCTATATCCATATTTCCTATACAAAATAGTAGCTCTGTCTTTTTTTCTTTCTAATTAAAATATGAAATACGAAATTAATCATATCAAGAAACATTGTAGTTTAGGTTGTGTCAAGTCAAGGAAGCATCAATAGACTTCAAAACATTTGTGAGCCATCATTCGACTTTCAAAAGTCGATCCACGTCCATCACCCATTAGAATTTCATTTATTGTCCTAGAGAAAATTGCCTATGTGACACAACAGACATAATTTACACGTGGCATAAATTGTCATTAACATCCAATTAGAAAATATTTTGACAAATGTTGTGATGAAATTCAATTATTTTTGGAATTTTTTTTTTGGGAACAATTAACTCATTTCCTCAATGAATTTATATAAATGATTTAATTTTTAAATTTTTTATTTAGGAATTTCCTTTTTTAAAAATTGTAATATCGCGAAGGATGTTTTATTTTTTATATTAGTTAAACGATATTGGGTTAAGTATAACGGTGCAAGTCAAGATTAAGATTTATGCATAATTAAGAAAAGGACATGCCGTGAGGTGGGCATTGGCATAAGGAGAGGAAGTTTTATATGTATCTTAAATAAATTTAAAGATAATTTCAATCTAAAAAGTGCATATTTAGTCCACAAATTCAATCTAAAAAGTGAATAGTTAGTCCACCGCTAGTCACATTTTCGAATACAAGTATAAAATTTTCTAATATTAGTCGATCCACGATTAATGAAAAATGTATAAAATAATTAAAATGTATCCAAGTTGAGATAAAAGGATTCTCTTGTTCATTTTACCTCCCCTACTTATGAGATCATATGCAGCAATGGAAATATATTCATTTTTGCATCCCTCTAAAATGTTGTTTAGTTGAGTAATAAATACGCACTTTTTAACTTGAAATTATCGTTGAATGTGTGTAAGATACATTCAAAATTTATCCCTTTTTATGTCCGTGCTCGTACCACATCGAGCCATTTTCTTGGGCGCAATTCTCAATCTTGACTTGTATTCTTATACTTAATCGAATTTAACATAAAAATAACTGCTCAAGATTAGTCAGACAAAACTTGGACCCTTGAGTTATCAAAAAAAATAAAAAATAATAAAGATCATCTGTTAAAGATATTTGTTATAACTTGAAAAAAATAATACTTAAATCATTTTTTTTTGTTTTTTGGTAAATTGATTGAGGAAATGTGTTAATTGCAAAAAACGGATGAACTTTGGATCGCGTCAAGTGGACCTCATTGAACTTTATAATGATAAAGAAATTTCACCAAATTTTATCAAAATACTGTTCATTCATCACTTGTTGGGAGAACTGAACAAGAAGTAGTGCAAATTCCATCGGCCACGTAGGTAGTTACATTTAAGCCAACAATTAGAATCCTAAAGAGCTATGGACGAAGATTAACTTTTGAAAATTTAGGGAGAGACTTATAATGAATTTCACTAATGTTTCAATAGCATAATCTAAAGTAAAATGATTTTTGAAACTACTAACTGAAAAAATGCAATATATAGCAAACATTAGATTAATTTTGGACTTAAGGGCATATTAATTAAACATCGATACTATATAAATCGAAAATTTTCAGTTTTGGTATCACCTAGCTTATAATTCATAGGATGCATGCACTGAGAATGCTCTTGTCTACTAGAGATTACCTCATCTTATTATGGCTCCGTTTGGAAGTGATTTTGAGAATTAATTTTGTGATCGTTAGGAGTAAAGTGGGGATCACATGTGAGAAAAGAAGTCAAATTTTATGATTGAAATAATGAAATAACGGCCAAAAAATCAATTTTTTGAGGTGAAAAATCACTCCAAAACAAGCTCATAAATAAAGGCAATGAAAGAAGATGTAAATTTGCAAAATCTCAAAACTATGTGGTCAAATCGAAACTAATCCTCAAAATTGGGGACTCAAATTGAAATTTACATTCACATTACAGATTCAAATCAATCAGGTTGGGGACAGAAAGCAAGGAATCTAGTAGAGAAAGACAGAAGGAAAATAAAAGAAAAATGGGAATCAGATTCATTCTAATGGTGAATAAGCAAGGGCAGACCCGTTTAGCCCAATATTATGAATATCTAACCCTAGAAGAACGCCGAGCACTTGAAGGTGAAATAGTTCGCAAATGCCTTGCCCGCACTGAGCAACAGGTGTGCGTTTCTGATGTGAATAATGTACATTATGTGCAGAAAATTTCTTGTTCGTGGTTGTAAATTGCGATATCCACGTTAATTACATTAGTGATATGAATGAGTTAGTGAATTTTTAATTTATTCTAAATGTGTATAATTTAATTTGGTGATGAGCCGTAGAAACTTGGCGAATCAAATTTTTGGTTATAAAACTGCCCTAAATTCGATCTCATGCACAATCTTGTGTAAAAAAGCAGACTTTTAATTATTATTGCAGGGTGTAAATTACGATATCCCCATTAATTCGATTAGTATTATGAACCCGAGTCAGTGAATTTTAAATTTATGTGAAACAGCTATGCTTTAATTTGGTGATAAGTCTTAGGAACTCAGGTGGATCAAATTGTCGATTGTATGGATTTATAAAATATCAATATATGGTGAAAGCATTGATATCCAACATAAAAAAAATAAAAATAAAAATAAAAAAAAATAAAAAATAAAAACTAGTCTTAAGCTAGAATGAATATGAAAGTTGTACTTGGTGACATTTAATCCAGAGTTTCCTAATTTTTGTTTTCAAGAAATAAGTTGAAATTAAATTGAAGCCTAACCATGGCATCAAGTGGAGATCAACTGCATGGTAGAACATGTGGAAAAATGCAATGTATTACTTTCTAGGAAATTTGCTGTCAGAACTAGCAATTTCGATCCAAAATAGCAATACTGAAATTCTTTGCCCGAAAAGTGATGATCATTTAAACCTTTTATTTTTATTTTTATTTTTATTTTTTTCTGAGGAAATTTTCTCCACTTGCTACAATCTGATTACATTTTCTACTATCTTAGGTTGAGTCTACATGGTTTGAGAAGTTGTTCTGTATTCATGTTGACTATAAAAATTTTGAACCTCAATTAGTGGACTGTGGACCTAACTGATTGTGTACTCACAGATGCTCAGTATTTGTCGTAGAGTTCTGCTCGTAAGATGTAAAAAAAGTACACCAAAAGTTATGAACTGAAATATATTTCCCTCTAGTTGCAAAGTTAGTGGACAATCTGAAAACTACTGCTTTTAGTTTTTGGATAAATCTATGTTAAAGCTAAATCAATTTGTGCCATTACTAGGCTATGGCTTCTTGTCCCATATTCTCATTCATATGATACGCTTCTCTATATTGTTTCCGTATTATTTGCTCGATTTGAATGGTGGAAAGCTTGGTGACCTTTAGACCACCAGTTGGTGGCTTTTTTCTTATAATACTAAGCTGTTTGTGGACTATAACGTTTCATTGTGATTGCTTGCTTATTCTTTGCATTTACGTTGAACAGTGTTCATTTGTCGAGCATCGGAACTACAAAATTGTGTATAGGCGATACGCATCACTATTTTTCTTGGTTGGAGTAGACAATGAAGAAGTAAGTCCTCCTATCTTGAGATATCCTCCATAACTGAAATCTCGTGTGTATTCAATATCATGCTTCTCTCATCATCAGTAAACTTGTGTATTGTTGGAAACAACATATGGCATGCTTGAAATAAACTTTACCAACAGTTTTTGGTCCTCCATTGTTTATTTTGGGTCTAACACTTTGTAAGATCACTCAGCTGGACAGCAATCTTGTTCACTCCGTTAATTTTAAGACAGTAATCTACTAAAAAAACTGGGGAAGAAATGCTTAGGACATTGTAAATAGCATTGGAACTTTCAAGTAGAAAGTAGATAAAGCTGACCATTTTGGCTGTTTCTTCTAGCGGAGGATATTGCCCGCATTTGACTGCTGCGATAAAGCGAATCTTTAATCACATAGACTGATATGATGATTTTAGCTGATTCAAAATGTTTTATAGCCAGTTGAATGGTAAATAGCCTGAATACAATTTATTGCACCTATATGATATGTATAAGTAAGCTATTAGAGTAAAAACTACTAGATATAAATTATTAAACCAACCATCTTTGATTTCTTACATAATGAGTTTAAATCTCAGAAAATAACGTCTGTTGGTGCTTGCCTTGTGTTTAGCTAGTTTCGTAATTGCTTATTAAAAAAAAAGTTGTTATTACCACTGCATGATCACTTTAGTGATTGCATATTTAAACCTTTGTCGTTGCCACTGCTCTATCACTTGATTCTTGGGTTTAACATCTGGAGACATTTGTTTATGGATATGTGAATGTTCGGAAACAGCTCGTTAGTGGCTACGCAATATGATGGAAGACCTTGCATTTTCATAGCATTTTTGGCTAACCTTTGAAAGTTCACTTATAAGTAAAAAATGTTTGTTTTGAAGTAAATAATTTTTTATTTGTCCAAGTTTTAAATTTATAAGTTAGTTATTTAGTCGGTTAATTGTTACTTCAAAAAATTAAGTTACCAAACATGTTTGGAAGTAACTTTTACTCTTTTAAAGTTTGCCAAACATGGTCTATCGTCCATATTGCTACCCTGTGAATGTAATAACGTAAACCATGAATACTCAGTAATAAACTTTTCTGCTTTCTGAATGATACTGATTATGTAGAATGAGCTTGCAATTTTGGAATTTATCCACCTACTAGTTGAAACTATGGATCGACATTTTGGCAATGTGGTAAGTTTCCGACTCTAGACAATTCGTAAAACAAATTTTTCTTCATCTTCGTCTTTGAAATTTGTTGTAACTCTGAATTTTTATTTTGCAGTGTGAGCTGGACGTAATGTTTCATTTGGAAAAAGCACACTTCATGCTGGAGGAAATGGTGATGAATGGTTGTATTGTTGAAACCAGCAAGGCTAATATTCTGAGTCCAATACAGCTGATGGACAAAGCATCATAATCTGTTAAATTTGATCTGTTTGGAGAACTCTGCTATGACTATGTTTTATAATTTTTGGAATGTCATTTGTACTTGTGTCATTCCAAAAACATTTAAGGTTTCTTGATTTCATAACGAAAGATAATTTTGAAGTTAATTAAAAAAAATAAAGGACGGACCTTGGGCCAGTCATGGTCGAGCCGTAATGGACCAGCTTACAAACCCGGTCAAGAATAGATAGGAACCAGCCAAAACTGGAGAGAACTGGGAAAACCGGCGGGTTTGACTGGGGTTTGATTCAAAATATTAAGAGAATATCATACATCCTCTAAGCTTCATAACAATAATATAGACATCCAAGTAACGCTAACCTTTCCTATTTCTAGTTTGAGTATTATTACATTCATTTCTCACCTACTATGTTTTCTAAATTCAAAAATGCGTTGGCAGGCAAGTGTGTTGAATTCAAAAATTGTGCAATTATGTGTCGACATGTGGCACAATGTAAAAAATGATGTAAAACAATTTGTACAAGTAGCATGGTCTTGAATAATGCTTCTTGTACATTCCATAGATAACAATTTGGATGACATTGTGTGCAAATTCAAAAATGTTTGTGTTAAATTCAAAAACTATGCAATCATGTGCTGATATGTGGTACAATGGAAAAAATGATGTAAAACAAAATGTACAAGTAGCATGGTCCTATCCATGTCCTTGTAAACGAAAAGATGAAATTTTCTACCACCACCATTGCTCAACCTGTGAAGGAGGTATGCGGTAGCAAATTCAAGAATGCAATTCGGATTGGTTTCAGCAAAGAGAAAACCGAAACACGGAAAAGATTGAAGAAGGATATATCCATTGAGGATTTAGATTGACATCTTCGTATAGAATGTCACATTGAGATAATAATAATCTTATTCAAATCAATGTAAATTTAAGAATTAATTAGAATATTGAATGTACTATAATATCCTCCACGTGCGAATTATTCTCACCATGCATTTTAAGTTGGGTGATTGTTTACTAATGATTAAAAATAAAATAAATAAATAAATAAGTTTCTTAATAAATGATAATGACTTAGAACTATTGGCATGTTGCCTTCGTGGACGATCAAGGATATTTTCACTTGCAATCAGAAGTGATTATTAGAGAATCAAGTAAGTAAACCTCCAGTTATCTACATATGTACATTTGATTGTAAAATCTATAAATGTGTTATCTAAATTGTTATTAGGTGAACATGATATTTAATGATTATATTTTATATCATTAATATGTTTCATGACCTATTCATACAAGTCGATGCATTCATATGCATGCAAGAAGTTTCAAGAATAAAATGCTTCTAAATATCAATGAGACAAGGTATATTGTAAATGGATATGTATCCCGAATATTTTTGTAAAGATGTGTATATCTATGCTATGGAAGCTTCAAGTAAAAATGGGGATGTAGGGGAACTGGTGCACCCAATCAATATTTATTGTTGAATCATGAATGTTTAATGTTTAATAATTGATTTGCGGAACTATCGATATATTTAATGAGTTCCAAATAACAATGACCCGCGGCATTGTGATTGGCCAGTCGATGTATTTAACAAGACAACATTGAAGTTTTCTAAGAAATGAACAAAAATGAGATACATATTAGGAAAATCTATTTATTTTAAATTAGTGTGTGTGTATTACAAGCATGCATCATATGCATGATGTTTGTTTATTGGGTGTTAGCAAATTTTATATTATCCATCTTCATTTTTCAAATGATGATGACAAATGATTCGAGATGAATACTTGTCGTGAGATAAAACTTAATACTAACACATTTTAAATATTGACTTGAATTTAAAATGAAGTTAACATTATTTTAATTACCTTACGTTTTTAATCAGTGCAACATTTATCCAAAATTCTTTTAATAATTGAAAGTTATTAATGTTCATTATGTTAAAAAAATAAAAATAAATAAAAATAAATCTAATCAGTTTCCATGATTTTCAATTTAACTAAACGCTAGTATTTTTGAGTCTAGGGATTATCTGGACATGGGGCGGTATAATAAATATATTTATTATAAAACCTTGTATGAACATTTTCTCTTCAAAAACATACATCGTGTCCGAAATACCATAGAAATTGATTACGAAGACTCTCATATTATTATTTTTATATATTCTTGGTGTTTGTTTTATTGTCTTAAAGTGCAAAATGTTAGCAAATACTTTCTAAGCATTCCATTGTATCCAGAAGGCAAATTCAGTTCTGTTGACACTCGACAAATATTAATCTTAAGGAGAGCATCAACATGCAACTTGAAATCTACCGTAAGTTTTTTGTTCGAGTTGTTGGATGCCATATCCCTCCAACATAACTGGCTTGTCGTTGAGAATACTTCTTTAAATAATTTTTATTGGCATTTCTTTATTTATTTTCGTTTATTAATTGTAAGCACTCCGACGATCAAATCAGTCGACGAAAAGAAATATATATGAGTGTGGGATAAGCTCAGGGCATAAGCCACAAAAGTACGAAGGTAACTGAGGAAGCGTATATATGAATGTTGAGAGAGAGAGAGAGAGAGAGAGCAATCTTACAATGTTTTGGGAGTAAAAATTGCATTATTCTTGAATTGGTGTAAGTCATGAGCTTAAATAGTAGTCTGGTTGAAGTGATGGCCATTGGATGAAGAAGTACATGGCATTATTAGTGACTAAAGCATCCCATCATAGGTGGTCACATCAAACATCTTAGGTCATATGACATTTAATATATATTGATTGAAAAGTAACCGCCTAAGTCTACATACATGTGTAGTAAGCTGATGTGACCTAACATTCATGGTGTTGAAGGAGGTAACATCAATCACTTTCATAGGATCTTGGATGTAAAAGATTCTTTGGAAAAGTGATAAAGATGCTATTTGGATGAGGAGGCTGGCACTTTGGTTGTATGAGCTTAGCCTTATTAGGCACTTCGATTACAGCACGTAGAGATAGCTTCTTCTTGATTTTAAATGTACGAAGAAGCACCTTAAGATGCACGCTATCACATGCAACTCGTCTTGAGGTTCAATGGAACTCTTCCATGTGACCTCGTTGAAGTGCCACGTGAGCGTCTTTTTGAGCTTCGGTGGCGATGTATAACAATAGTCCCCCAAAATTCATATATGATTATTTATATAATGATTGGACTTCGAAAAGGAGGGAGGTGTTGATTATAACTATCATGTACTTCATCTTTTTGAAATGGGGGTCCTATTTTGACATAAAATAAAACATAGTGGTATATATTTATTCTTTATTGGACTTTACAATTGTTGTTATAAAAGTGCTATCTATTTTATTGTCACTCTCGAGAATCAATAAAACTCACAATCAATCCAATTAATGACTATGCAATTGAAAATGCATTAAATCATATAACAATCATTCAATAAGAAACATATATTGAGCGTTAATTATTGAATTTATATTAAAAAAAAATATCATAATAAGGGTTCATCAATGCCTTATCCTAATTCTCTTCAATGATTATGAGAACTCCTGAATGTCTATATTTAAAAAGTCCAAGATAAAATACACTTAATCATTTTAATGCAGTCGTATTTATCTAGAAATCCCAATTTCTAGAGTAATGCTATATAGTATTAGTAAGGATCATTGTCAATCTAGGCGACAATGGATCTATTAAATCATACAATAATAGTGATGGCCAAAAAATTCGCCTCGATGGGTTGATGGGTCCGAGCAGGATGGGGCACCCCATCGCGGGGCACGGGGCGGGGCGGGGCAGGGCATAGATGGTCGCCCCGTCGTGGGGCATGGGGTTCCCCAAACCCGCCCCGTGAA